TCTTCTTCTTCTTCTTCTTCTTCTTCTTCTTCTTCTTCTTCTTCTTCTTCTTCTTCTTCTTCTTCTTCTTCTTCTTCTCTAGTCCTGTGTTGCCTTTAGGTGCCAGGTTGTGAGAAGCATCAGGGGAAAGCCCTGTTATGTACTGTCCAGATACTCGTATTTACAGCCTCAGATAATCCATCTATCCATTACCTGCGTGGTCAACCTCTGGATTTGCTTCCATTGTGTTTAAGTGAAAGGGCTTTCTGTGGTGCACTTTCTAGTGGCAGTATTGATGCATGTCCAAACCATTTGATCTGTTGTCTCTTGATAAAGAAAACACAAAATCACTTCAGCCGAGTTATATCCAAAAGAAATCCACATATATGTCTAGCCAGTTTCACGCATGTGAAAAAAGATTATATACATTTTTATGTCCAGCCTTCCAGTTTAAACTTCCTTCGTAGTTGAACAGGGCATCTGGGAACTGTGCTGTTAGACTGGCACCCAGGATGTGACATTTTGGGTCGCCGAAGTATGCAAAGCTATAGGTATTCGCCTGGAGGTTACAATGGCCTAGCCCGATTGCTGCATTGGAGGTTTGAGCACACACACAAGAATGCCATATTGGCGTTATCAGTCGCCACACGCTGAGGGATATACTGAAGATGGGGTCCAAGCGCTTACGGACTTTTCCGATGTGCAGAGAGGATAATCTTTCGATTAACTAACTAACTAACTAACTGACAGTGCCCTAACTAACTAACTGGCAGTGCCCTAACTAACTGACTGACAGTGCCCTAACTAACTGACTGACAGTGCCCTAACTAACTGACTGACAGTGCCCTAACTAACTGACTGACAGTGCCCTAACTAACTAACTGACAGTGCCCTAACTAACTGACTGACAGTGCCCTAACTAACTGACTGACAGTGCCCTAACTAACTGACTGACAGTGCCCTAACTAACTGACTGACAGTGCCCTAACTAACTGACTGACAGTGCCCTAACTAACTGACTGACAGTGCCCTAACTAATTGACTGACAGTGCCCTAACTAACTGACTGACAGTGCCCTAACTAACTGACTGACAGTGCCCTAACTAACTGACTGACAGTGCCCTAACTAACTGACTGACAGTGCCCTAACTAACTGACTGACTGACAGTGCCCTAACTAACTGACTGACTGACAGTGCCCTAACTAACTGACTGACAGTGCCCTAACTAACTGACTGACAGTGCCCTAACTAACTGACTGACAGTGCCCTAACTGACTGACAGTGCCCTAACTAACTGACTGACAGTGCCCTAACTAACTGACTGACAGTGCCCTAACTAACTGACTGACAGTGCCCTAACTAACTGACTGACAGTGCCCTAACTAACTGACTGACAGTGCCCTAACTAACTGACTGACAGTGCCCTAACTAACTGACTGACAGTGCCCTAACTAACTGACTGACAGTGCCCTAACTAACTGACTGACAGTGCCCTAACTAACTAACTGACAGTGCCCTAACTAACTAACTGACAGTGCCCTATGTAAATAACTTTCATTCATCAAACAGCACGCCTGAAAGTATCGCTTTCCCTAGCCAGATCTCCAGCCCCATGTGCTTTCAATGTCAAAGCATCTTCAGTCTTGTATCCATCTTCGCGGAGGTCGGCCCCTGCCTCGCTTTCCACAAACAGCATCCTCCATCACCGTCTTTTCCAAGCCACCATGACGCTTGATGTGACCAACATACTTCAACTTTCGGGACAGGATGCTGTTTATGAGCCAGTTCTCCTGGATGTTTGACTCGTGCAGAATGTCGAAGTTTTTCCTAAATTGATCCATGTTGAATAACGTTACTACAACAAAATAAAGGGTTTATAAAGTGAAGGACCCTTTTCTTCGGCTTTTAGACCTAATAATTATATAGGGCTAAAGGGTGGACTCGTGGCGAAGTGCTCAAGCCGTTTGCCTCGCGTCCTGAAAGCCGTGGGTTTGTTTCACGGCTGCGCTGTTTAGTTCACGAATGCAATTTTTACGGAGATCCTTGGGGATCTTCTCCGCAGCTACAGAGTTAGTGCTCTGTGCGATGATCTCGGCAAGCGGCTAGCCGTTCGGCGGAGAGAGACCGAGCCCTATTGGATAAAAACGGTGCAATGAAATAGATCCTCCTGGCTTTAACCTTTTTATAGGGCTAAAGCTTTATTTTATAGACCAATCGACACTGTGTGGTTGATGTGGTCAGCATCACGCAGGCAGCCTTTCCTTCCCAGGACTCACCTGGTACTCACTCTAGGCTGGGTGGACCCGAGAGCCAAGCTCATTTTTGAAAAGAAAAGAAAAAGCGTACAAAATAAAACATAACATTTGCTGGCTTAAAATAAGACTGACACAAATTGACCTACCATCGTGTTGCCGATAGTGCCAATGACAATGAGCACCGCCAGAAAGATGGTTACCGGAAGATAGAGCCTGGCCTTGACATCGTTCAGACACAGAAGGCGGGAATAAGTTGTGTTGTGAATCAAGCAGTTCAGTTCTTCTTGTGTTGGCTTCATTTTCATATATCAGTTTGTTGCTAATTTTAGTTTGTTGTTATTTCTAGGCACAATTTATGTTGGTTTGATCTTTGAATGATCGCACCCGGTATAAATGACTGTACTGTTGCCACAGTTTGTGGAAATCATTAACTTGGCTTGGAGGCAAGAAAAAATGTCAAAGTTTGATGACTGAGGTCAGAAATTCCTTGCAGCTTAAACAAACAAGTTGTGGTGGTTATTTTCACGACACACCATTTGAAATCAACTGTAGTAATATTTATTAAAGTCCGACTGGTTTCGGAAAGCAATGGCAGACTACTGAATGTAAAATTAAAACTACAAATAGTAAACAAATCCGGGGTTGGTTTGCAAAGTCCTGAGGAAGATAGGCAGCTAACTTGAGTCTAACTGGAACATCAGAAGAATGTAATCTTTGTCCGTGGGTAAAGGAATTATACTAATACATCAAACTGCTGGGGGAAAAAATCAAATTAAAATGTCACAGCTTGTTAACAGTAATTCTCAAATAAGTCTCACTGAAATTGTCTTCGTTATGAAACACGGGCAATAATTACTTGACAACAGAGCAAGAAATTGTAATTACATGTGGAGAGTGTCTTCAAGAAATTAGAATGTGTTGCTTCAAGTCGTACTACCAAAAATACATTGAAAATTGTGTCGACACGTTGTACAACACAATATAAAGTTACTTAGACTGTCTGTTGTGTTTATATGATTAGTAAATATTAACTTTATTATCATTAATGTATGATATATGATTAAAGATCTTCGTTTATGTTTCTGTCATGGAAAGTTGCAACGAGAAGCAATAATATTATAGTGTTAATGTTGTTATTTCTGCGTTAAACACTTCGTATACAAAATACCAGGCTTTGTTTGTCATGAAATCACAACTGCATGTCTCGAATATGCTCACAGAATCTGTAAGAGGTGGAGCCAGCAGTATTTTATAGGTCAGGGCACGTGACAAGAACCTAGAGGCTATTGGTTGCCCTACTTGACGTGAGTGTCCAGTCCCCAAGGCACGCTGTTTGTGTTGTCAAGGGCGTATTTTATAAGGCAGTGTTTGGCAGTCTGTTAGTGGTAATGCTTTATTTCAGGATCCTCGTTGGTGCTACAGAGCATGTGCACTGTGCTGAGCTTCTTCGGACTCAAGCTTGAGTTAGAAAAAGAACGGAGCACTTATGGGTTACCACCCGTGTGCCATGATTTTGATCCGCTGTTCAAAACCTCAAACCTTATTAGTAATATTTTCAATGCTATGTATAAAGAGGAAAGATCGACTTATGAACGAACGAACGAGCAAACGAACTTTATTTTCAAAAGGTTACAAATTAGACACGCAGGCCTGTCTTACAGGCCCTTCCAAACTTCCATCTTTCACACAGCAGTTGTATTTCATCAATGAAGCATGGTATATTCATGTAATAAAGCATATTATGGATATGAAGTCAAAAACAAAAGCAAAAACAAAAACCAAAACGATGATATCAGGAGGAGAGTCCACACAGAAGCAACACTAAACTTTATAAACAAAATGAAATGTTTTGGCCATGTTACAAGATTGGCATCAGAAAGGGCACCACAGAGAGCAGTGTTTTACAAATACAGCGGTAACAGACCCAGAGGTCGACCACACAGAATATGGACCGTATAAATGTCAAAGACACTGAAAAGTACTTTATAAGAAACGAACAGACGGGCCCATTGCAGAGATCTGCTCCTGCTCCAACACAGCCAGACATTTCAGGAGTAGAGAACAGAAAAAGATTCTTGTATATTGTACTTCTTCGTCCTCTTCTTTAGTCATCGACTCTTAGCTAGGATGGAATATCGTGGTTGTTCTTCATTTGAACTTGCCAGCACCTGAGTTTTGCGTGAACATCCGTTATACTGGCTTCTTTGTGTGCAGCTGGTTGTTCTAGGATTTCTAGCTGTACGAGAGGGCTGCGTGGTCTCGAGGCATAGTCTCCGCCTTGAGTGCAAGAGGTTCCGGGTTCCATCCCCGGTAAGGGCTAGGTTTTGTTCACGTAGACTTCTAGTAATTCTCCCTAGTCTCTGGGTAGTGAGATCGGACGCCCGTGTGCATTGTTGAGCACATAAAAAATCTCTTGGCAGCTAGAAATCGAAAAGAGTAGCCTAACGGCGCTGCCCTTGCAAAATTTGGGGTTAAAAAATCTACACAAAGTATTTCAGCATCTTCGCCGGTGCTACAGAGCCTGTACACTGTGCTAAGCTTCTTCGGACTCAGACTTAAGTTAGAAGAAGAACGGAGCACTTATGGGTTATACCCGTCTGTCATGATGTTGATCGGTTGTTCAAAACCTCAAATCCTTGCCGTTCATCAGCTTCGTTAAGGTACCACTGAACTTTGTTAGATTTGAAATGCGGGGTAAAACGTTCAACCTGCCACTGGGGCCTGGTTATATTTGTGGTGACGCCATGGGTTTCTCTTTCATAGGATTTTGACTTTGGGCTGTTAACTGCGCTGTTTTTTTTTTCCTACCTTTATCCAGCTATTATAGTTTAAAAATTGTCTCAATATATAAAAATTTGTACTAAAATACCTACAACGATGGATACGCCACTGATTGTTCGAAGTACTATACTTAAACGTGCTACACATTAATACAGTTAGTTCATCAATGTGTAGTCAAGTGGACCCAACCTTGGCCCCGCCCTTTTCTGCTCACGTGCCATTCTGCAAATGCCTTCCTCCTGTAGACGTCACAGCCGCCTGACGGCACAAGGGATCCCTGGATGTAGATCAGGTGTCCGGTACAAACGTCTTGAACTGTGCCCATATACTGACCACTGAAACGTCCTTATTCAACCCGGGGGGGGGGGGCATGTTTATCGTCTATGGATTGTAAAGACAAGAAAGGCGCAGGACTGTTGGAAACATTGACTTTGTGTATTGCAGATATCCAGGTCACTCATAACAGTTATAGTGCGTTTACAAATTGACGCCAAAGTTTTAAAAAAAAATATAATTCAGCTGTCTTCATCATCATGTGCCCTGCCAAGTGGCGTAGGCGCTCATGCATCTCCACAGATCACGATCCTTGGTTTGGAACAGCACTCTTGGTAATATCCCTCCATGCCATTGTTTTAGACCATCCAGCATCATCTCTCCTGGTCTGCCTCTGCCACTTTTTCCACTGTTCTTTCTAGTTGTCACTATGTTCTCCAATGTCTCTCTTCTCATTATGTGGCCAAGGAACAGTTTTTGTCTCTTTCTTATTGTTGTATATAGAGATCTACTTTCATTAGCTTCTTTTAAATAATTGTTGTTATTCGCTCTGGCCGTCCAAGGTATTCGTAACATTCGTCTCAGAAACCACATCTTTGTTGTTTCCGAATTCTCTTTAATTTGTTCACTGACATTCCAAAATTCTCTGCCGTACTGCAGAACAGGTTCTATGTAACATTTTAACACCCTTTTCAATCTCAGTTGTAGTAGAATATAGTAAAAGTAAAGATCCCTTATTACGCCTAAGGCGCATAGGGTATATGGGCAAAGCGTACCATATTTTTACAGACCAATCGGCACTCGGTGGGTAATGTGGTCAGCATTACGCCGGCCGTCTTTACTTCCCCTGGGTAGTAGAATATAAATGGATGAAATTATTTATTAATATTTACTTCATTCATGTCAGATTTATGATCGAGGAAAGAGCGCAGGGGCTGAACCAGCACGAATATGGGCTCACGATGTAAGTGATACCTTGATTAGGAAAGTGCAAGATGCGGGAGATATCGCGAGATATCTGGTTCCTTCCAAACAGACCGTGACGAGAGCGATGTTCTGCAAAGGACCTGTTGCATGTTGATGAAAATGATGTTTCATCTTGAATTAAAGATCGACATTAAAGCACTCAGGACACTCCCATAAGTGATCCGTCCCCATTTTCAGCAGCAAGCGAAGAGTTCTAATTCCGATGGCATCAGTGAAAGTCTGATTGTATATCCGTCTCGCCTTTCCCTTGAGTGTTGAGTGTCGGCCAGATCACCTGGTAACTCCTGACAGTGCCATTCTTCTCAGACCGTAATGATCCGCACTGTTCACTCTCTCCCAAGGGTCCTCACAACATCTAGCTTGTCACACATCAATTCACTACTAAGTGGTGCAGAACCGGTCACTCTATCTGCCTGCTCGTTTCCAAACACACCACCATAAACTGGAGAAAATATTCAAAGGTGACGATGGCCATTATGATGATATCACGGACTCCTTGAATTTGTTATTCAAACCCAAAAGCACCGAGCCACCCAGTATAAACGATCGCTTTAGATCCTTCTTTCCCCCAATATGGCTGCAGACAACGCCCAAGGACAGGTCCCAGAAACCCCGGTCAACCCATAGACTGGGTTAAATTAGGACCCTGGCAACAACCAAGGTGGGGTTTTAAAACAACAAAACATTGCGTCGCATATTTAAGATCGCCCGTACTTTCTCTAGCTATTCTTCTTCTTACACGAACTTGTAATCTGGTTGCAAATATTAGCTTTTCTTCGTTGGCTACTAAAGAAGGGGACGGAGCACTTGTTGGAATGTCCTAAGTGCAGTGATGTCAATTCTTCATTATTTCATTTATTCGTTCATGAAAAAATCCGCCAACCTAACCATGCGAGATTGAGTGAATAATGAACGACAGACATTGTGGGAACGACACCTTGCACTAGATTCATCGAGCAACAGATCAAGGTTTGGCCATCTCGTTAGACCGAATCAAGGGCAGATACTCTCACAGGCTCTACATCTCAGAAGATCAGCTAAAAGTGCAAGTGGACAGCCACGAAAAAACATGGATCGACAAAATTAAAGACACTCTACACCTTTACGGCTTGACAACGGCCAGTGAAAACCAGCGTGCCAGTTGGATCGCAGATTATCCCTCCCCCCCCCCCCTTTTCCCGGCATAAGTCGTTTATGATGATGATGATGATTAATTCATTCATTTTTCCACCTCCATTCCCCAATGGAACATAAACCCTAAACC